ATTTCCAATAAAATTTCTGTCCTATGTTTGTCCTTGTGGAAGTGTCTTGAGCGTGCCACCACGTAAAAGCTGTGGGTGGGGCAGCTCTGGTTCCTGCTGTAGAATGGGGTTAGCGTTCCTCACTGCCTTTGGGCTAGTGGATTTACTCCCCGCTAGGCACAGCCTCGTACAGCCTCGTGCTCACCATCACAGCTCACATCCAGGAGGGTCCCTCTGTCCCTCATGTGTGTGAGTTCAGCCTGCCATGTCTCCTGGAGTGACCTGGCCTGTCTTTAATTTATATTCAGTGGCTTCCTCATCTCCAGATGACTCCAAGAAATTGTGTTTGAGACTGGAGAGAAGGCTCCGTGGTTAAGAGCCCTTGCTGCTTTTTCAGAGGACCCAGCTTTGATTCCCAGAACCCACATAGTGGCTCACGACCATCTGTAACTTAGGTCCCAGGGGGTCCAATTCCCTCTTCTGACTTCTGTGGGCCTTAGCTATGCATGGTAGAAACAGAAACTCCTACTAGCTTAAAGCGAAAATGGAGAAGGTACTGGCCTGTGTGCAGGTGGGGGAGGGACCAGGATGGCCTGACGCTGAGCTTCCTGGTGGGGTTGCAGTGAAGGCTGAGACTGGGATCAGGGACCAAAGCTGGAGTAAGGCTAAGGGTGGGTACAGGCCTGGGGGACAGCTTGGCATAAGGTGATGTAAGGTCAGACAAGGGCATTTATCAGTAATAGAGAAAAATCCAGCCATGGGGAGACTGGGAGTGAGAGACTTAGGGACCCGCTGATGGTTGGAGGCAAGGAGTCCAGCTAGGGCCTGGACCAGGCCAGGACTGGAGAATGGCATATGTCAGAAAGGGAATGAGTGCCAGGGATGACTGAAACTGAAGACCTCACAGGTAGGGTCATCATCCTCTTTGGAATACTGTCTCAGACGCACATCCAGAGTCAGGACAGAGGATCCTTGGAGGTAGGGGAGGAGTCAGGGGCTCGAACCCATGGAGAGAGAACTAAGTCAAGAGAGAGGATGTGTTAGCTGTGTTTCCCTGCAATACTTGAACTCTATTGCCTATAGCAATATTTCTAGCTGATATGTGGCATACTCGCTCATGTCAAGAACTGTGCTGAAGGATTTGCTATTAGGGACAGCTGTGGCTGGGTTGGAGAGATCTAAGAAATTCTGCAGAGTCTAAACAAAGGTGTGTGAGAGAGGACACAGCCTGGGCCAGCAGGCCAAGCCTCAGAGGGCATGGAGTGCTTCGGTAAGCCTTACACGATAGCTTGTGTCCAGCCCTGGTTGAGCCTAAAGCTTATGTAATGAAGTCAGGTGACTTCCTTGAGTGGGCTGTTAGTGAGCTTAGAGACAAAGTGGAAGCAGAAATGGGGAGGGTATGGACAAGCTTGTGACAGTGGTAGGACAGGGAGGACTCACCAGTGTTGGGGGTAGAGACTCAAAGACCATTCAGCATGGTCAAAATTTGATCTGAGAGTCTGTAGTGAGTCAGCCCGCAGCTGTGTGGAGAGAAACACTCCTCACAGGGCAGCTGGGATGCACATTTCAGGGAGATCCCCCCCCCCCCGCCCCCAGCAGGAGGAAGCAAGCAAACCATTTAACAAGAGCCAAGACCATGCAGTTAGCCGGACACTTCAACCCTGAGTTTCTAGAACAGGGTTGGGGGCTTTTCCACAGGACTTTTCAGGGTAGGAGGTGAGTAAAAAAAAAGGGGGGGAGGGGTAGTTTCAGTTTAAAACAAAGATAGCTTCAGCTGAGACAAGATGGAGAAAACTTTTGATCTGTTAATAAGAAGGTCTTCGAGGGGAGACCAGTAGAACCCAGCTATCAGTTGAGGAGAAGAGGCAGTGACAGGGATTCAACCTCTAGCCTAGATAACAACAAGAGGGGGGGCATGTTATAGCTGGGTAGGTAGTGTATACATTTAATCCTAGCATTCAGGAGGCAGAGGCAGGGGGGAATCTCTGTGAGTTTGAGGCCAGCCAGGGCTATGTTGTGGAAAGACCTTGCTAAAACAAAACAAAACTAAACAAAACAAAACAAAACAGTAAGAGGCTGCTTTTCAATTCATGGGGTACAAGCAGATATACCCAATTACAAGGGGGCAAGCTAGCTCTGAAGGTCTGGGAAGGATTTGGCTTGCTTGGACTGACATTATTGGAATCCCCTCTTATCGAGGTGGCAGATCGTGAAAGCTAACAGAGAGGGCAAAAAACAACAGAGCTGAAAAGAGAGTGCGGAGAATGTCGGTATCCAAGGGGCTGAAACAGGAAGAGGAGCCTTCCAAAAAGACTGAAAGGGGGTTGGGATGTGGCTCAACTGGTCGGGTGGCAGCCTAGCATGAACGAAGCCCCGTGTTCAGTTCTTAGCACTGTATACACCAGGCATGGTGGGACATAGCTAAAATGCCAGCACCTGGGCGGTGGAGGCAGGAGCATGAGGGGTTCAAGTTCATCCTCAGCTTTACGGTGCTCATCACCTCCTGACACTCCATTTATGCTTAGATGTTCGCTGTCAGCACCGTGTATACCTCAGAAAGAGGCTCCATATCTGCCGGGACCGCATCATCAGCATCAGGCACTGATGAGTTTAGCAATATGCTTCACACAAGTGCGTGTGTGCGCACACACACCACATATACACACACCACATATACACACACACACACACACCACACATACATGCACACCACATGCACACATGCATGCACGTGTGTGTGCAATGTTGACAATAAATATATTTGGTATGCTAGATCTTAGATTTATTAGAGTAGCTTGCAGGCTGTCTCCAGACAGAATGCTCAGTCCAGGAGGTGGATGTCTCGGTGGTCCCAGTCTGGTGCTGGAGTCCCAGGGAGTTCCTAGAGAGCTGCTGGTCTTCAGTCCACATTGGAATCCCAAAGAAGTAGGTACTTACCCCAGCGAAGGAATGACTCAGCAACAGGGTAGATGAACTTGCAGGCAAAAAGCAAATGTCCTCTTCCATGTGATTTTCACGTGGGCTGCCACTAGAGGGTGTGACCCAGATTTACGTTGGCCTCCTACCTCAAATGATCCAATCAAAATACCTGGGTTGATTTCAGACAATGTCAAGCTGACAACCAAGTTTAGCCATGAGAGCTTCTCAAACCAAATTTTTATATTCTTTCACTCAGAGTCCAGTTCCATATTTATCTTGGTGAAACAATCAAGGTGACCCAATGTAGCTCAGTGAGTGGAATGCTTTCTTAAGACTCACTAAGCCCTGGGTTTCACATCCAGTGCCACATAAACAAGGTGTGGTGGCATGTGCCTGTTGTCCTGACACCCAAGTGGATGACACTTTTTTTTTTTTTGCTTCCAGGTTCTGTTGAAGAAGACATGTCCGCTCTTCATGAAGTCTTCACCTTATAAATGTTCATCTCTGGCCCCCTTTGTGGCAGTGGAGTATTCAGATAGCCAGACAGACCAAGTGTCATTTAACTGACCATTGTATCTATTAGACCTGAACCTTTAAACTGTGGCATCTGCACTTACTTTGGCTGTCAAAATTGAACTGAACTGTTGGACAATCAGTTTATGTCTGGGGAGATGGAGAATTGGTTGGTATGGGAAGAGACCCCATGTAGCTGGTGTTGAAGTGATGTAGGAGTGTCTTCTATCTATCTGTTGCTTTCATTGGTTAATTAATAAAGAAAACTGCTTGGCCTGATAGGTTAGAACATAGGTAGGCAGAGTAGACCGAACAGAATGCTGGGAGAAAGAAAACAGAGTCAGGCAGACGCATGCTTCTCCTACCCAAGATGGACGTGGGTTAGAATCTTCCCGGTAAGCCACCACGTCGTGGTGCTACACAGATTATTAGAAATGGGTTAATCAAGATGTGAGAGTTAGCCAATAAGAGGCTAAAACTAATGGGCCAGGAAGTGTTTAAATGAATACAGTTTCTGTGATTATTTCGGGGGTAAGCTAGCTGGGATCTGGGCGGGAATGCAGCCCTCTGCTCTTTCTACATTGAAGTGTTTGTGGCAAGTACACACTGCACAGAAGCAGTGTGCCATCATATGGGTATCACAGTCGCTGCTTCCCCTGGGACATTCCTAGATTTGAGCTTTGCTGAGCACTGTGGCCATTAGCATTCAGATATGTCTTTGGGTAACTTTTAAGGGACTGGGGAGATGGCTCAGTTGATAAAGTGCTTGCCTTGTATGTATGAGGATCTGGGTTTGAACCCCATACAGAGAACTGGGCATGGGGATGTACCTTGCAACCTAGTGCTGGGGAAGGAGAGCGAACCCCTGGGGCCTAAGACCAGCCAGCCAGTCTAGACTACTTCATAAGTGCCAGGTCAGGGAGAGACCTTGTTTCAGAAAACAAAGCGGGGCGCTAATACATATACACTGTTGCAGGTAGTTTCCATTCAAGGAACATTTGGAAATTACTTTGTTTAATTTTGTTTTGTTTTGTTATTTTGAGACAGGTCTCTACCTAGCCAGGCTGGCCTCAAATTCTCTATGCAGCTAAGAATGGTCTTAAACTTTTGATCTTCTTGCTTCCATCCCCTGACTGGTGAGGTAACATGCATACATACACCTTCATGCCTCGATTAAAGACAACAAGGTCAAAATAGTGGATCAGAGTCACAGAGTTCCAGTAGGTGAATGTCTTATCCTCTTGGAATGTTGTTCTTTTTTGGGATGGGCCCTAAAAGTTAGAGGAAGCCAGACATTGACATCCAGGCACTCAGGAGGCTGAAGCAAGAGTATTTCAAACTGCAGGCCAACTTGCACTGCATAAGACCTTACCTCAAACAAACAAGCGAACACCAGAGACAGATCAAGGCATGTAGTACTCACCTGAAGTCTCAGTATTTCGGAGGTGGAGACAAGAGGATCTGATGGAGGTGGGTCTTGTAATAATAAAGAAACTGCCTCGGCCCTCATAGGACAGAAAATTAGGTAGGCGGAGTAGACAGAAGAGAATGCTGGGAAAAAGAAGCTGAGTCGAGGAGTCGCCATGATGCTCCCACTCCAGACAGACGCAGGTTAAGATCCTCTCTGGTAAGCCAGCTCATGGGCTACACAGAATATTAGAAATGGGTTAGAACAATATGTAAGAGCTAGCCAATAAGAAACTGGACCTAGCCGGGCCAGGCAGTGTTTGAAAGAATACAGTTTCCGTGTAATTATTTCGGGCATAAGCTAGCCATGCGGGCGGCCGGGTGCCGGGGACGCAGCCCTGCTGCCGCTCCTATTTCAACAAGGATCAGGTCATAGTTCACTACATAATAAGTTTGAGGCCAGCTTGGGCTACTTGAGACCATGTCTCAAAACCCACTCTCCACACCACTGCCACACAGAGGGAATAAATAAGGATACATCAAGAGCCTATACACACCAGAAATGACCTTATGATGCCTTTTTCGTGGTGAGGCTGGAAGTGTAGCTTAAGCTGTAGAGAGTTTATCTAAGATGAGTGAGGTCCTGGGTTCCAACCTCTGTACTGGAAAGAAAAGGCATTAATTATTCCTTTGGGCAAAAATAGACATAATCAAGTCTTGATTAGTTTAGTGATAGAGGGTTTTTTTTTTTTTGTAGTTTTAACTATTTTAAAAAGTATGACTGAGAATGTTCTTCAAGTATAACCTTTGTGGTTATAGTTTGAGGTGTCTGCACTTTGTCTCTCTGTTAAGACAATTTTGTTATAGCAACATTTCTTAGGAATATCGTGACATCATAACAAGACAGGCTGTACTGAAGAAGACAAGGATGGGAAAGATGGCTCAGAGCTCAAGAGCGCTTGTTCTTACAGAGTACCCGAGTTTGGTTCCCAGCACACATGGCAGATAGCCGGCAACCTCCTGTAACTTCGGCTCCAGGGGATCCAGTGCCCTTTTCTGGTTCCTTGGACACTCGCACACATTTGGCATACATTCACAAAACAACCTCACATACACATTAATAAGTAGAAAAATTAAAATAGCAGAGAAAAAAAATCAAGCCAGGCTACAAAGCATTGTCCTCTTGTTTTGTTTCCTTAAAAAGTACTCAGGAGACCTCAAGAACAATGTCAATGGGTTTTTGATCCTACTGCACGTATTGGCTTTGTGGGAGCCTAGGCAGTTTGTATGCTCACCTTACTAGACCTGGATGGAGGTGGGTGGTCCTTGGACTTCCCACAGGGCAGGGAACCCTGATGGCTCTTTGGGCTGATGAGGGAGGGGGACTTGATTGGAGGAGGGGGAGGGAAATGGGAGGCGGCGGTGGGGAAGAGACAGAAATCTTTAATAAATTAATTAATTAATTAAAAAGCCAAAGCATAAAGAGAAAAAAAAAAAAAAAAAAAAAGAATTTGAATTGGCTCCATAAAAAAAAAAGTACTCAGGAGGTAGAGACAGGGGGATTTCTGTGTTTGACACCAGCCTGGTCTACATAGTGAGTTCCAGGACAGTCAAGGTTACACAGAGACACCTTGTCTCAAAGATAAACAAATGTGACTGTGCATATATTATGGCATTTGTGTGGAAGCCAGAGGAGAGCTTTTGGGTTGTCATTGGGCTTCGGGCAAACACCTTTGCCATGGTCAGTCACAGCCTGGGTTCAGGTCCTTGGGGGGGGGGGGAAGGGGCATCGGCCTGAAGAAATGAATTGTGTGGTCACCAGATGAGTTTCACCCAGGTGGCTAGCTCCAAATAGCTCCAAAATTTAGACATCAAAACAAGTATATTTTCCCACACTAACAAACAAGTTTTTCCCATCTTCCAACATTAACCTCCGGCAAAAACAAGTATGTCAAATGTGTGTTTTTTTTTAAACCAACTTTTACATCAACACATCTTTAAACCCAAAACAACACTTAACCGTTTTGTTAGCTCGGCCAAATATAGAGCCAGGAACATCCTGTCTTTACAAAACTAAAAGGTGATTGACATAGGCACACATTTCCAAGAACAACAATCCTGTTCAAAACGTATTTACAGAAACACGAGTGATCTGCCTCCGATCCTGTTAGCACCGAGTCAGCACAGCTTCCAGGTCTGGAGTGACAGCTGCATCCTCAGACAGAAAAACCTGAGCAGCATCAGCTCCCAAAGAACTTTAGGGGAAGATATTCGAGGAAAAAAATGGCACTTCCAGGAATGATCACATCTGTCCCATGCATGATTGACAAAAATGAGAACCACCAAGAGAATCATCAGTCATTATAAGAGAGAAGAGAGTGTGCAGTCGCTCAGGCCCAGCAGTGTCCTCGCTCTCCACAAAGTCCCCTGGTCCTTGTCCAGTGAAACTGTCCCAGTGGGCTTTGCCTCATTTGAAAACCCATTGTACAAACACTCATATACTGGTCCAAAACTAGGCCACACGGGTCCCAACATACCTTTCTCCTGTGAACCATCTGACCTGTCTATCTTGAATCTTCTTTTTTAAGATGTATTTTTTTTATTAAAATTATGCGTATAGTTGTTTGCCTGCATGTATGTCTATGCACTGGGCACATGCAGTTCCCAAGGAGACCAGAAGAGGACATCAGGTCCCTGGGAAACTGGTCTTACAGATAGTTGTCAGCTACCGGCCACGTGGGTGCTAGCAATAGAACCACAGGAACGGGCACTGCTCATAGCTACTGAATTATCTGCTCCCTGTAAGCCCCAATCTCGACAGATGCTTCTCAGGTTGCCATGTTTTCAAAGAGATAGGGTTGTGAGAAACTAAGTAACTTGCTCAAGACGACTCAGCAAGGACAGACCAAGACAGGACCTCACTCCACCAGGGTACCTGCCACAGGGCAGTATCAGGTAGCCACTTGCCTGTGTTACTGTGGGTGCAATCTTCGATCTGGTTTGGTCTTATTAATAAGGGCAACAATAACTCTCACCAGAAGGTCTTGGTGAGTATCAAATGAGATAAAAAAATGTTTTCCACAGTGCTGTGCCTGGGTTTGTGGTAAGACACATTGTTACTTCAAACAAAGATTGTATCTGTTGGTTAATATAAAAGGAAACCCCTTGCATATATAAGGATTGAGAAAGGCCTTTTTAAAATTATTATTAGAGTGGAACTTGAGGAATAACGTGCCATTTTCACAAAGCATAGCCGGCTTACCTTTGGTTCCTATTCAACAACTCCTTTTCCCCTTTGCCCAGAACCCAGAGAACCCATTTGTCTTCTCTTTCTCTCACCTTCCAGGTGTAACGATCACCTGACTTTCTTCTGTGTGGTTCTTGATACTGAACTTTTTTTTTACTTGCTAGATAGGTGCTCTGTCGCAGAGCTAAACCTCTACCCCATACAGTCCTGGTTTGATCATTACCTGTGATGAAAATGTATTATTAGGAGAACGGACCCCATAAAGATGTACAAATATTACAGGTCAGAATAGAGTCTAAAGGGCTGTTCTAAAGTCCCAAGTAGAACCAGGTAAGTGAGCTCCAACACAAGTGAGACACTAAGCTGCTGTACTGGACCACAGTTTTCCAGTTCTGTTATGACCTTGAAGCTTTTTTTATTGTGGCATTTTCAAAACCAGGTACCCCTTTCTTGGTTTTATTTTATTTATTTTTGAGCTCTACATTTTTCTCCGCTCCCCTCCCCACCTCTCCTCCACCCCCTTCAGCCCTCCCCCAAGGTACCCATTTACTCAGGAGATCTTGTCTTTTTCTACTTTCTACTTCCCATGTAGATTATTAGATCTATGTAAGTCTCTCTTAGGGTCCTCATTCTTGTCTAGGTTCTCTGGGATTGTGGTTTGTAGGCTAGCTTTCTTTGCTTTATGTTTAAAAACCACCTGTGAGTGAATACATGTGATAATTGTCTTGCTGTGTCTGGGTTACCTCACTCAAAACAATGTTTTCTAGCTCCATCCATTTTCCTGCAAAATTCAAGCTGTCGCTATTTTTTTCTGCTGTGTAGTATTCCATTGTGTAAATGTACCACATTTTCCTTATTCATTATCAGGTCAAGGGTCATTTAGGTTGTTTCCAGGTTCTGGCTATGATAAACAAAGCTGCAATGAACATAGTTGAGCACATGTCCTTGTGGCACGACTGAGAATCCTTTAGATATATACCCCAAAGTGGTATTTATTGGGTCTTGAGGAAGGTCGTTTCCTAATTTTCTGAGAAATCGCCACACTGACATCCAAGGGGTTGTACCAGCTTGCATTCCCACCAGTAATGCAGAAGTGTTTCCTTTTCCCCACAACCTTTCAAGCATAAGTTGTCATCAGTGTTTTTGATCTTGGCCATTCTTACAGGTGTAAGATGGAATCTCAGAGTTGTTTTAATTTGCATTTCTCTGATCACTAAAAATGTTGAACATTTCCTTAAGTGTCTTTCAGCCATTTTAGATTCCTCTGTTGAGAGTTCTCTGTTTAGGTCTGTACTCATTTTTTTTTATTGGATTATGTGGTCTTTTGGTGTCCAATTTCTTGAGTTCTTTGTGTATTTTGGAGATCAGACTTCTGTCTGATGTGGGGTTAGTGAAGATCTTTTCCCATTCTGTGGACTATCGTTTTGTCTTGTTGACTGTGTCCTTTGCTTTACAGAAGATTTTCAGTTTCAGAAGGTCCCATTTATTAGTTGTTTCTCTCAGTGTCTGTGCTGCTGGGGTTATATTTAGGAAGTGGTTCCCTGTGCAATGCGTTCAAGTGTACTTCCCACTTTTTCTTCTATGAGGTTCAGTGTGGCTGGCTTTATATTGAGGTCTTTGATCCATTTGGACTTGAGTTTTGTGCATTGTGATAGATATGGGTCTATTTTCATTGTTCTACATGTAATATCTAGTTATGCCAGCACTACTTGTTAAATCTTCTTTCTTTTTTCCATTTGATATTTTTTGTTTCTTTATCAAAGATCAGGTGTTCGAAGATGTGTGGATTGATATCTGGGTCTTCTATTCAGTTCCATTGGTCCTCCTGTCTGTTCTTATGCCAGTACCAGGCTGTTTTCAGTACTGTAGCTCTGTAGGAGAGTTTGAAGTCAGGGATTGTGATGCCTCCAGAAGTTCTTTTATTGTACAGGATTGTTTTGGCTATCCTGGGTTTTTTGCTTTTCCAAATGAAGTTGAGTACCGTTCTTTTGAAGTCTTTGAAGAATTTTGCTGAACATTGCGTTGAATCTGAAGACTGCTTTTGGTAAGATTGCCATTTTTACTATGTTAATTCTGCCTACCCAAGAGCATGGGAGATCTTTCCATTTTCTGGTGTCTTCTTCAATGTTTTTCTTCAAAGATTTAAAGTTAAAGAGGATATTGTATGCAAGAGAAAAGTTTCAGAAACCATTCTCAGTAGTCTCAGTATTTGTAATCCCAGTATTTGAAAGGCTGAGGCAGGAAGAGGGCCATGAACTTGAGGAGAGCCTAGGGTTACTTAAAGTTTCAGGATAGCTTGAATTAATGCCATCCTATCTAAAAATGATCTCCTTCCATGCTTAATGGCTCAAAGAGAATCATTCCCCAACCCAGAGGTGCTTGCCCTTTCCCAAGGGGCCTCTCTATCCTGAAGCAAGGAACTTCTGACATTTGGGGAAGATAATATGGGAAAAGGAGGAAGAGAGAAAAGGGGTGGGGTGGGGGGAAAAACTCCTCCCTTCAGATTTGCCTGGAAACCACATACTAAGAAGTGGCCTCCCTGGGGCACCTCGCCACTGACAGCCAGGGTCTGTGGGAAGTCAGATGCCTCTCAGATCCTCCTGACCCTGTGATCCTGTTGGTGTGGCTGTGCAGTTTCGGCTTTGGAGCCTGTCTGACACGTTACTAGAGCTGGAGGAAACCCTGTTTGACCAGACCGCAGTTCACGGCAGAGAAAACCCGTCGTTCAAAGTTTGAAGGGAATAGTTAAGCAACAGCTCCCGAGTCTTTCTGTTTATTCTCGCTTATTGAATTAGACTTGTTTTCCTAAACCTCTTGGTATAGATGGTGGGGCACAAGGACCCAGAAACAGATGTCCCTGTTACAGCCACCCAGCAGGGAGTTTTGTGGATCCTCATGTGTCCTCCATTTGCCAGATTCCTTTGTCCTCCTAAATGCCATTTCCATAAGGCATGACTGCGCTTTTTAGGACCACACACAGCAGTGGGTGAATGTAGGCCTTTGTTATATAAACACGCAACCAATTGGCTCTCGTTTGTTTTGTTTGCTCACTTCTTAAATTTTTTTTCTCCATTTCTCTTTCTTCCTCCAACCTTCCCATATACCTGTCCTTGCTATCTTTCAAATTCATGGTCTCTTTTCTCATTGTTGTTACACACATATGTATGTATGTATGTATATATGCATACATAACCATATATATTCTTAAAAACATAAATACAGCCTACTCAGCCTGCATAATATTACTTGTATGTATGTTTTCAGGGCTGACCATTTGGCACCTGAAACCAACTGTGTGCTCTTCCTTGGGGAAGACTGTTTTTCTTGCTCTCAGCATTCCTTGGTTGCCAGTAGTTCTTTGTGTAGGTCAGAGACCTCACGGACTTTCCTCCATTAATTTTTGGATTCAAGGGAGGGTTTCATGTAGCTCAAGCTGGCTTTGAACTTTTGTTATTTGGCACAGGATGACCTTGGGATCCTGATCCTCCTATCTCTACCTCCCAGCTGATGGGGTTACCAGGGTGTAGACCACACAAGGCTTCAGTTTTACTTATTGACATATGGGAATACGTTGAGCAGAAGGCCTACTGAACTCAGTGCTATCTGCATTCCTGATAAGGGGGATACTCAGTGATGGTGACAAAGTGGGGAGCCCTGCCCTGCTTGCCTGAGGTCCTGCTCAGTCGCCCCACACCCTCTACACCTTCAGTGTTGGAGCAATGCCAGCTCTTTCAGGAAGACGGTCTTGTTTACAGAATGGGAACTGAGGGAGAGGTACGGATGTGGTCGCTTAGGTTTCAGTTGAGCAACAGGCTTCTTCCCCACGTCGGAAGTGACTGGATTTCTTCAGAGGCCTCTCCCTACTTACCTTGTAGATCTTGCTGCTTCTACTCACCCTACATTAAACCTTGTTGAAGAATAGGGTGGGAAAACATGGCGTCTCTCTTCCGTAGCATACACATACCCACACGCACGCCCATGTGGCATATATTAACATGACAGGCTACCTAGAAATACGCCAACGTGTCCTTCAGGTTGACCTTTGCTTTTAGTGCTGAGGGTTGAGCCCAGGGCCTTGGACATGTTCCACAAGCACTATGCCACTAAACCTATTCCCAGGCCAACATTTCAATTCTCTGGGAGAAAGTTTTAACAATGCTGATCATTATGGACAAAAATAAAGACTGGGAGGGGAAATCTGTTAGATTTGCTTTTAAAATCTTATTGATTCCCAGTCAGGATGATGGGGTTAGGGGACAGAGAAGAACACCCCCGCACACATACTCACCCCAACACTCATGAACACGGACAACACATGCACAAATACAACAATGTGAAAATGAATAACACATTCACATCTGCGAAACACATAACACAAATAGCACATGTGTACACATAAAACATGTATATGCACAACACACAAATCATGTAACACATACATGTGCACACACGATGCATATACACAGGTAACACACACATAAGTAGCTTGCACTTGTATAACACACATACATGCCACACACCACACATGCACACCCTCACTCTACACTGCAGTGCTAGATCATATACTTTAAAAATCTAATCCTGGGGGCTGGAGAGATGGCTCAGGGGTTAAGAGCACTGACTGTTCTTCCAGAGGACCCGGGTTCAATTCCCAGCACCCACATGGCAGCTCACAACTGTCTGAAGATCCAGTTCCAGGGGATCTGACACCTTCATACCAATGCACATAAAATAAAGTTAAATAAACCATAAAAATATTTAAAAAAAAATCTAAACCCGCAAATGTCCTTCAAGTTTGGCCTAAATCCTTTCCCAAACATAACCCTGAGTTTTCTGGAACTTTCACAGGCAAGACTACAAACTTCATTTATGGCAAGAGTTCACTTCACCTCCCTTGTGACTGATATTTTCATTTCATCAGCGGTACATCTGTCCAGTGCTCCCCAGGAATAACCCTAGGATCTCACGTAAGTTCCTCTGCAGTTGTCTGAGATGTAGCGGCAGAAGCTGCTGAAACAGTAAGTGTGGCTGAACAGCTCTCTGGCAAACCCTACACCCAGGCTATGGTCTCTCCTTTTCCTAAACACCTCTCTCCTCCTTTCAACCCCTGTGTTTAAGTTTATGTTAAGACCTCTGCTTTCAAAACTCTCGCTTTAGACTGACTCATCTTGAAGTTCTTTTCTGCAGGAAAGGAAAAGTTCCCAGCTTCTCTTCTGGTATTCCTGAGGAATACCTCAAGCTGCTGCAGGTGCATTGTGGAGCTGTCAACAGCTATAAATGTCATTTATTTATTAGTTATTTACTTCTCAGACAGGGTGTTGTTGGCTTGGAATTGGTAGCAATCCTCCTGCCTCTGTGTCTTGAGTGTTAGAGCAGATAACTTTTTTACTGAACCCAAACTTCCAGCATACCAGTTTCTCAAAAAAGCACATCACTGTGTATTTCAAAGCTAAGGATCAAGAGAACAACTCAAAATACCCTAACTGAAAATTCAGCCTCACACCAAGACTTGTATGTTAGAATAAAGTAAAAAAACCTGGACTGTAACAGCTGAAGGTGGAGGAAGGTGGCAAGACTTCCGCAGGATTCTAAAAAAACAGATTCTAATGAGAACTCAGTACCTGGACAAACATCAACCCAGTGTCAAAGTAAAGACAATTTTGGAAATGAAAAGGTTTAAAAGTTATTGCCTATATGCCCTTTCTCAGCAAAACCCAGGAACCCAGCAAAACAACAACAACAACAACAACAAAAACAACCAAACCAAACAAAAACAAACAAAAAACAAACAACAACCACAAGTCAAAAAGTGATGGGCACTGATGTTGCACTAGAGCCTCCAGTGTATTGGCTATTCTCTTAAATGCCATCTGTGTGTGCATACGCCTTTATCTTAGTCCGCATAGCCTTCAGCTGAGCTTTATTTCTGGTCACACTGTTCAAGGACATAGAGGGAAGTTCATTGTTCCGCAATTAGGAAGTTGGAAGCAGTAGAATTGCCTGTAAGCAACAATAACCAGGCTGCATGCTCCCAGAGATCAGGTCCTGCAAAGAAAGGGAGAATCAACACCCACCAGTGATTTGAATATTTAACATTCTCAACTGCTGGTGGTGGTGAATGCATTTAATCCCAGCACTAGGGAAGTAGAGTCAGGTGGTCTACAAGTGAGTTCCAGGACAGCCAGGGCTACACAGAGAAACACTGTCTCAAAAAACAATAAACAGATAGACAAACAAAAACACAAACAAAAATAGAAAATTTAACATTCTCAGCAAGCTAGGACTAACAATAACTTCCTCGATCCCCCCAAAAAGCCTCTGAAATCATTGGCATCTCATTTGGTAAAGGTAAAGATTGAGGCCTACAGGAGTTGTGCACAGTGGCACATGTTTGCAATTTCAGCACTTGAGGGCCTGAGTCAGGAGGATGGAGAGTTGGAGGCCAGTCTACATAACATAGCTAGACCTTGTGGGCGGCGAGCCTGCAGCAAGGTAGATGCTTGATCTCAATGCTCTTTTATATTATGCTCAGGTTTCTTCTTCTCAGTGAAGTAAGACAGGAAAAGGAATGAATGACAAGAAAAAATTTCAGGAGTAATTTTGGATTTCTTCTCGGATCCCAGGATCGTATACGTATGAACTTCAAAAGTGATATTTAAAAAGCTCTACTAAAACCAATAAGTGAATTTATATGGTCTCACATTACAAAATCAACTGTTTTCCATACATCAATAACAAAAATCTGGAAAATAAAACTTTTTCAAAATATCATTATAGTAGCTCATCCTCTAAACCTATAAAATACTTAGGAATAAGCTTAACAGTGTATCTATATGAATTGTGGACCAGAAAACAGTGAAGCATTCTTTGTAAAGAAACAAAGGAGACTCAAACAAATGGAGAAAAATACGTTTACAGACCAGGAGACATCTTGAGAGATGTTAATTTCCTCCTAACTGAGCAGTGGATTCTACACAGTCAAAGTGAAAATCCCAAGTGGAAATGTTGTTGAAAGTTGCAGTCAGGTTTAGAAGTCATCTGGAAGTGTAATCAAATGATGCAGAGAACAGGAACAGTCCTGGGAGTGACCAGTCCAGGCTGAAACAAGACCATGGAGGCCCCCAGGAGAGAGGTTTCCTAGAAAGTTAACACATTCCTTAATGAACGTGACCGTATCGAGAGTGACAGATGAGACAGACGCAATGATGAATATGTGGAAAACCTTAACTCCAAGGACAACAAAATAAGTCCAAAGACAGGAATGTAAACACTTGAACAACTGTTTATATGGCCATTGTAACAAAAAAACTGAACCAAAAAGTGGTGTCTGTGTCTAGAGAGAATATGGTATTTTATTTGGTTGGGTGTGGTTGAAAGGAGAGAGGCTGAGAACATTAAATTCTTCATTGCCACAGAAGACAGTCAATAGGAAATCTTTAATGTGGGTCGTGTGCATGTCAGGAATTTGCTGGATAAATATGGTACTGAGAAATGTACAGACCATTATTAGATAAAAGGATTTTTGAATTCATTGTCCTTACCATTGATTATGAGGATTAGGGCTGTTGGCTCTCATCAGAAGTCATTTCAT